ATGGGCAATTTGTAGCCAAATGCATGCATGCACTAGAAAAACGAAGCATTCCCCTCCACGAAGCTTTAAATTCGAGGGACTCAAGAAAAAGGCCTTAAACTTAAATAGACTATTTCTAAGATGCATCGGCCCTTGAAGGCAAAACAGGGAGAGAAATTTCGAAGAGGCTTGTGCTTGGAAAGGGGGAGAAATCCCAACCAAAACGGTATAGCTAAAGCATAAGACATGGTTTATAAGAAGAAAGCGTGATAGGCGTCTTGCGGGTTCCTTGGCCTCACCGCTCGTGCCCCGCATGCAAGCAGCAGCGGAGCGGGGTCGGGGACGGAGCGGGAAGGGAAGGCGCCCCAGTCCTGCCCTCCCCAACAAGCGCCCTGCGACTCGGGCATGACGTGCGCTCCAAAAACAGCAGGTGAACGCGGACGCTGGGAAGGGCATTCTCTGCTCCTACTGCCGCAGTTCCCGTCGAGCTCAGAAAGCCCGAGCCCGCCGAGCCTCACCTGCGTAGGGGCGCTCAGGCCGCCGTGATAGCACCATAGCTGTCTCGAGGTCACTGCCACGACCCGTTTGCAAAACACGGAGGCAGCCATGATTAACTTCCCTCTTCCCCGACCCCTCCGCTGGAGGGACCTTTTCCTTTTCGCACGGCGCTTGCGCAAAAATGTACACATTGGCTAGACCGAGGAACGTCGAATTCTCGATGTGCAAAGTGCTACTCATTGAATGCCTTGGCTTTCCCATTTCAGTAGGACTTTTATAGTTCATTTTTCTCTCTAAGACGCAAGTGAGAGATGTTCTAGATTTCGATGAAGATGTCAGACTGCAATTCTATACAGACATGTAAGTTCCTTGAATTCAGGCTTACCGCTGAATCGACTCACACGGATATAGTGTTAAGTTTTTAAGGTAACTGATTGGGCAACAGCGCACCAATCCCGCGCCCGAACGGTAACAACAAACATGAATCCCTGCTCTTTCTAAATCTTTCTTATTTTGCTTGAAACAGTTAAGTTTGGTGAGTTTGTTGTGATCATTTAAACTCTCTGGCCACTGTTGTGCGGGCCAAGGGAACACGAGATTCTGTCTGGGAAACGGTATGAGGGGAAATTGAATTGACTTTGCTTCAGCCTGAGAAGTTTGTTGCTTGTTTACCGTGGGTTTGTTGTTCGCTTCTTTCTCAGCAACAGCCAATCTGAACTATAATTTGACTAGATTACACTGGTTTGTAGCAAACCTTCCTCTCAAGCCTCTCTGGAAGACCTCTAACATGCAATAGAGTGAATGACACTGCAGAGCTGTCATAAACCCCTCTCCCAGCCATAGCCCTAAAATACAAAATGGGGATAAAGAGCTGCAATGTCATGGACAACAGCATCTTTAAATAGTTTAAAAAAAACAATAATGCCCTCCAAAATGTCCTGCTAAGTTCTTGAAAAACTCAAAGCTGTGGCTTCCTTTATGAAATCAACCCATTTCATATTTGGTCTTATTTTTCTTCTTCTTTTGATTCTCCCTGGTACAATTGCCTTCTCCAGGGAGTCTTATCTTCTCATGATATGCCTGAAGTATGATAGCCTCAGTTTCATCATTTTCACTTACAAGGAAAGTTCTTGTTTGGTTTGTTCTAAGACCCACACATTCATCTTTATATTAGTCCAGGATATTTGAAAAGGTTTCCTCCAGTATCAGGTTTGAAACACCTATTTTCTTCCTGTCAGCTTTCTTCACTGTGCAGATTTCACATGCATACTTAGTGATCTTGTTCCTGGTCTCCAATGACACTTGCTTACAGTTCATGATCTTTTCTAGTTCCTTCGCTAGGACAAATTCTTTCACAACATTGGATTCTGCTTTGTTTCCTGCTTTTGAATTCCAGTCTCTTATGATGATCAGTGTGTCTTGTTTTGGTGTGTTATCAATTTCCTCCTAGATGCCTACATAAAAGTTTTCAATTTCTTCTTTACAGCATCTGTTGTAGGAATGTGCACTTGAATGATGGTTATTTTGCCACATTTTCTGAGAATTCTTACTGATATGCATTGCATTATAGCCCCTTACTTCCTGTTCTACATCTTGCCTCAGTATTGGAGGCACTCCATATCTTTTAAGTTTGGCATTTCCAGAGTGTTTTACTTCATGTTTATAAGGCTGAAAATGTACCATTTCAGTCGACTTTAGTTCACTCACAATGCAATATTTAACCATTCAATTGCTTGCATTAGTATTTTAAGCTTGCCTTGATTCAAACTTCTCATGTTCCAATTGTTTATGTTGTGCAACATCAGACTTTCCTTTTACCTCTGTGCATATCATTTGCTAGACTTCTTTTCAGCTCTAATCTAGTTGTGTTATTAACAACAATGGCATGCCTACTTGCCTGTTGCACTTCCACACTTGCTGATTTAGTGCCTTCTGCCCAAGGAGTCTCATCTTCTGGCACTGTCTTTTCAGTTATTTTTAGATTGTTTTAACATAGGGTTTTCAAGGTAAGAAATATTCAGAAATAGATTATAATTGCATTCATCTGTGCAGTACTAACCAGAGTTAGAGTGCAATTGCCAGTGTTGCTTTCAATTATTGCCACCATTCAGAGGTTTCTCCACCCATCACCATTAGAGTCAACCATTCTTTTCTGCTTATGTGATAGTTACTCCTGAAGAGCATGGATGCCAGGTGTCTCTACTTTGAGCATTCTGCCTTGGGTGACCCTGTAGGAGATCAGCCTAAAGAATCTGGTAGCATTACTCAGAAACACCTAACCAGAAACACCTTCCTGAACCTTTCTGCACATCTTATCCAGCCAGCTAGATATCTCAGTTGCTTAATGATCCCGAAATTCTGAAAGGCTTTATTTGTAGCTAGATTCAATGCCCTCCCAACAGCTGTAACTGAAGGGAAATATTTAAAAAATCCCCTCTGAACAGAGACTGTGTCCATGTGGGGAAGAAATAATTGAATTGCTGGAACATGTTATGCTTTATTGCACTCTCTATGCAGGTGCTCACCAGGAATTGTTATTCCCACTCTTTTCTAAATATCCTGGTCATTCTGATCCTTTTTATCCTAAGATGCTTTTATCTGATCAATCTGATTTTATCTCTTTGACCACAGCCAAGTACTGTTCAATAGTCTGTACAGTCCGCTGTAGAATCAAATCCAAATGTTGTTAGCCTTTTTTTTTTAGAAAAATTGCATTTTTCCTTATCTTAACTGTAATTTTAGAATTACTGTATTTTCTTTATTTTAACTAATTGTAATTTTGTATTTGCTGATAGAGATATTTGCTTTATAAAAGTCAAAGGAATTTATACTTTATGGTCTTCATTTGGCAGTCAGTGTAGCTTATATAGGACTGGTGTGATGTGTTCTATGCCACCTGTCCCTGTCAGCAGTCTGGCAGCTCTATTCTGAACCAATTGCAATGTCCAGATTGTCTTCAAGGACAACCGCACAAAGAGTGCATTACAGTAGTTCAAGCAGGAGGTTAGCAGTGCATGGGTTACTGTTGCTAGGGTAACAATGTAGCTGATGTACCAGACTTAGCTGAAGGAAAGCACTCCTTGCCACAGATGCCAACTGGAATTCCAGAGATCGCTCAGGGTCAAGGAGTACTTCCAAACTGCATACCCTGTCCCATAGGGAGAGTGCAACCCCATCCAAGGCAGGGTGAATATCACTTACCTGAACAGGCAGCCCACCCACTAGCAACTCTTCCCTCTTATCTGGAGGAGCCTCAATTTATTGGCCCTCATCCAGCCCATCACACCACCCAGACACCTGTTTTGAGCAGTCACTACCTCACCTGGACTGGATGTAAATGAGAGGTAGATAGGCATAGGGAATAAAGTGGAATCCTATGGAACCTCATGGCACAATTGCCATGGTGCAGAAACACAATCCCCATCTAGAATTGGTCAGTCAGGTAGGAGCAGAACTATGGCAGAGCAGTGACTTGCAGAGCAGTGCCTCCAACCCCCAGCCCAGCCAGCCTATCCAGAAGGATACCGTAGTCAATAGTATTGAAAGCCGCTAAGAGGGCCAGGAGAACGAACAGGGCCACTGTCCCCCATTGCTCTCCTGGCAAAGGTCATCCCAGAGGGTGACCAAGGCAGTGTCTGTCCCATAACCAGGCCTGTAACTGGACTGAAATGAGTCTAGATAGTTGCCTCCAAGAGCACTTTGAATTGCCCAGCCACCACCTTCTCAAGCACTGTGGCCCCAAAAAGGGGTGTTAGTCACCACTCTATAGTTGGTGACATCCTCTGGGTGCATTACCTGTTGAGAGGTGAAGCAGAGTGTAAGAAAGTCAGCACAGGAAAGTTGTGGTGAAGTGGTGGGGGCTTGGGATACCCACTGCCTGACCTGAGGCTCACTGAGACAGAAAATGACCTGTGATGTACCTATGCCCTTCCCAGTCTATGGTACACAGGTACTAAAACAGTTGGGTGTTAATTGCTTAGTCTTGTACATGGTTACTCCAGGTGGCAATTCAGTATAAAATTCGACCCCTAAAAATGCTTGCACTGATGTGATAACATTGGCTTAAATAAGGCTTATTGTACACAGTTGCTTTTTTGTTGGGTTTATATGTGCAGCTTCTTGCCTGAGAGCTAACTTGGTTAAGTGATTTAGACCTTGTTCTAGTTGTTCATCATAGGACTACATAAGAAGGGGGTCCCCAGAAGTTAATGCATGAGGCAGCCTTGGGAAGGAAGAATGCATGGGATAGTGCATTACTTGTAAGATACAAAAAACACAGTTGCAACCAGTTCTCCGGATATCTGATATTCCTTGGAAAACATATTTTATCCCCGCCAAATGATAACTTTTCGTGGTCTCTGTGCATCACACCATTGGGCTTTGTCCGTGCGCGGAGGCTCGCTCAGCTGTAATCGGGCAACCATCGTCGCCATCCGCAACCGCGCCGCATAGCCATTGTGTACTCGACACGTTTTCACCACCAGGTGGCGCTTGTCTCTCCCAGTTCCTTATCCAGTTGGAGCCTCTCTCCGTCTCTTTCGTCTACTGCTTCCGCCCGATTAGTAAGGAAGGGCTCTCCCTGGTAGAAGCTGGTGATGGCGACGGCAGCATTGGGAGATGGAGAACGAAGCAGTACCCGGGATAGGCTTCTAACTGCCCTGGACGATCTGGAGCTTTTGGCGAGGTAGGCGTCTCCTCGCAGCCTCTGTCGAAAATTACTCGTGGGCCCCAAGTCGGCGCTGAGAACCTCACGGTAGTTTTTGCGCAGGCGCAGTGGTCTGTCTGGCTCGCGCTTTTACTGTTTCTTCCTTTTTGTGCATTGTACGGCGCGAAGAAGCCTTTCTTCTCCCTCCCTCCTGTCGTAGCAACTTTACTGGCGGGACGGGTGTACGGAACTTAGTTGGAAACTGTTATTATAATATATGCATTAAGTTAATGATCACTAAATAGTCTCCTTTTTCTCCTGACTCCTGAGGTTATTTTTACAGATAGAATGCTGCATGTATCAGCTTCTGTCGAAGATACAGTACGAACTTCAGCGCATTTACTTTAAAATAATATACGCTAAAATTATAGACTATACTTCGTTTCTGTTTCGTTATTAATAAGTAGACAGTAAAACTGAAATGATCCGCACTGGGGAGCTCTCTCGGCCTAATAAAGGTGGGATGTTCTAAAATGAGCCTTCCTCTTGGAAATGATGGGAACGACTTCAACCGCCGCATGAAATCAATGGGAGCTAGGGGGCACTGAACTAAATACATGCTACAAGCATGTTTATCATTCAGGCTTGGCATCTTCCATTTTCCCAAATTGGGGTCACTTCATTTGAATGCAAAAAGGTGTTTTGTTTTGTTTTTTGAAAACCTATTTGTGACCTAAATAAATATTTGCTTGTTATCCAAATCAAGTGGTGTGAAACATTTAAACAAATTGATGTACACACACCATGTTGACACAATTTGCATGATTGAGCCAATCAACTCATTGCTTTTGTCTTCCAAAACCCTTGCTCCTATGTCCTGTGTCCCCAATGCAGCACCCCTAGGCTCCTCCAGTGATGCCCAAGATATGTTGCATGCAGGCACCTAACTTTTAACATCGTTTTATTTATTTTTGATTATTATATGTACATGGTTTTGTATGAAATGCTTACAGTTTTCTGTATGCATCAAATTGCATAACAATAATTAGGCACAGGCTTTATACACAATGGATTATGTATCTAAATAAGTATCCATTTGAGTTGGTAATATGCTACTCATTCCTATATTGAAAGCACTATGAGGCTCTCAGGCTAATACATTGTAAGAGGGGAGCGTTTATCCTTCCAGTTTTGTAGTATTGGTCTTTTAGGGGTCAAAAAGATGCAGAGAATCCTTTCCCCCTTTGTTAATTTCATGAAGCAGATAAATAATCTGAAAAGCATGCATATTAATGACTATTAGAAACTGATTTAGTACAAAATTGATGTGTGTAATTCCTCCCAAAAAGCAGCAATTCTTGGACATTGCCAAATCTTGTTTAAAAGAAAAATTGTATTGTAGTATCAACAATTAACTAAATTAGTCAAGCCCTTATTAAACATTGTGATGTCTGATAGACACAAGAGAAAAGACTTTGCTCAGTAAGATGCAGCCTGAGTTCTGTACATATGGCAGGGAGATGGCAAAGCAGTGGTCCACTGAGTAGGCATTTTGTGGTGGTGCCCATAGCAATTTCTCAAATCCCCAAATGTGCTCACAGGTCCACAAAGGTTGGGGACCCCACAATAAGAAATGTGAGACTGCAGTTCTGTACACAAAGTACCACTGCATTCAGCAGGCCCTTATTTTATTTTTATTTTATTTTTTGATGTAGCAATGCATAGAATTGTAGTGTAAATCAGAAAAGAATAATCTTTGAGTAAATTAATTAACTGATATATTAGCACACTATTTGATGGTCTCTTCTGCAAATTTATTAATATTATGCTGTATTTTAAAGGATACAGTGAGATACAGTGATTTCCAAGGTTGTTGTGAGGATAAAATGCAGCTATGTAAGCTGCCTTGCATTTCTCATAAGAAAAAAGATGGAATATAAATGCTAAATAATTAAAATTTAAATTTAAATACACTCATGGCTTGTTGTAGTGTTTTTCCTACTTCATGAGGTCCCCATTCTCATACATTCTTGAAGATACATCTGTGTACTGGATCCATTTACTCTGCAGTAACTTTTCCTCCATTGGTTCAAAAGACAGGTGACTGTTCCTTTGGGAAAAGGACATACCAGAAAAATGTAATAAAACAAAATAAAAAGCAGCTGAGGATGGTACAGCAAAGATGTCCTCTGGCATGCCTCTTGCCCTTCTAGCTTCAGCCTGGCAGGGGCACAGAAATAACACAAGTTTCTGCATTTAGGGCCCCCAAGCAGCAAGGGCACAGTCTGCATGTTGGCCTACATCCTTAATCTTTTCCTTTCTCTGTGGGCAAAACTATTTTCCTTATATGAGCCACCCACAGGTCTGTGGCATAATTGGGTGGCATACAAATGTTTTTAATAATAATGAGATCACCTACCTGAGACTTCCCTCCTGGGGTAAGAACAATGAAAAGCATAAGGAGACTTGGTACTGGTATGAAAGTGTTCCTTTCAATCTCAACAGTTATGATAACTTAAGATGCTTCTTATTATCAGAATTTACAGTGCTCTTTTTTCTCCCTATAATGATAACTTTACTTCAGGGAACTGATAGAAATGTTGGCAATGTCAAGAAACCAGAAACTCACACAACCCGGAGAAGAGAACCAGGTAAGTAAATAGTTTAAAATCTTACTGAAATTGTGTTTAGTCTTTTGTTCCTTACCTGTCATGTTGACCAGCTCAACAGATAAAGAAATCAAGTTTTTCTACCACTGCCAACACAAAACACCCTGCTACTTGAATTAGCATTACACTTTTCTCAGGCCCAGAGTTTCTGATGTATACTTTGGGTTGCCAGGTGGCTGGATATTTATTGGCAACTCAGTCATGCATACATCTCCTAGCCCTCAGAGATATCAGCATTATTTCTAATATTGGTAGGAGTACGATGGGGATTCTGTGCGGAACAGACAAGCCTTTACAATGGTGGCTTCTCACTTTGGAGTGCTCCTTAGGTGGGTTGTGGTGCTTTCTTATTACTGTCTGTTTGGTGCTAGGCAAAAATACTTGCTTACTTAGGCTTTTGTTAGCTTTTTCAATTTAGAGATATTTTGATTTTACTGCCTATTTTTATAAACTGTTACTACATTAGTCTGTATACCTTGTTTAATTTCCTATTTTTTAAAATGAACTTATAGATTGAAGGCACAAAATATAAATTGTCAGTACATTTTTTATTGGTGCAACTGCTTTTTCAGCACTTGAGTCAGAATTGTCTGGGGAACAAAGTCATTCCAAATCTATGTAGGCTAGTCATTCCACCCTGTCTAACAGCAGAACTGTGAGGAAAACAACAGTTGCAGTTCTGATGTTAAGAAATTAACAAGACATGCCTCAGTTCAGTCCTAGCAATCCTCCCCCCACCCACACCATCAGGCCTGCAACAAAATTGCTGTCACTCATGTTAAGGGTCAGGTGCATGAAAGAAGCTGCAGTTACCCTTTCATTGGATTACTGGTATTTTAACAACACTGCTGCTAACAGAGGAAGAAAAAGAAGAAATGCCATAGTGTTGCTCTACTGAAAAGTTACTTCTTCCATCAGCTGCCACAGGCATTACTCATTATATCAACCTACAGCAAATGGAGGACGAGAAGGTAAACATCCCACCAACTTAGCTGAGAAACCAGCAACTGACTCTTGGATTGTTTTCCATTTCAGCTGGTCATTGCAAGAACTTTGTAGCTTAAGAACTGATGCCTGAGTAAAATGACTTGTATTAGTCTTTTTTAAAAGAATATATTCATTTTCAAATAAAATTCCTCTGTAGAGTAGCTGTGAACAAAGTACAGAAAAAAACATAAAAGCCTATTATCTCCAGAGTCTGTATTTGGTCAGCACATTGTGCAGGGCTTTTTTCTGAGCTGTAAGCATAAAGCTGGGCAGTGATACTGAGCAAAAAATGTTTCAAAAAATGTTTCAAAAAACAACCCCCAAATGGCCAACATGTCAATTTCGCATCCAGCTTTGATTTAACAATCAAAATTGCATATAACTTTATTGAACAGATCCTGGAACTGTTGATTCAGAAGGATAAAGAATTCCAGGAATTAATGAAACTGGCTCTTGATCAGGGCAAAATCCACTATGAAATGCAGCTGTTGGAAAAAGTGGTGGAGAAGAGAGACAGTGATATTCAGCAGCTTCAAAAACAACTGAAAGAAGCAGAACATATACTGGTGAGTCAGGTTAAATCCTGGCCTTGGTAGGAAAGCAGACTATTTGCCATGAAAAAAGATTGTCATTTTAGTAGTCTCCTAAACACACTTAGGGTTACTCATAAGCCACAGATTATACATTCTGTTGTCCTGGTTATCTGTCATCCTAAGCCTCCTTTGCTTTTCTTGAATGCTTAGTTACTCTTCTTTCTCTTCACATACTCTCCATTCAATTAATATTTCCTTTTCTGTATGGTTCAGCTCCTGGCTGAGTAATTCCTGGTACCACAGAAATGCTACCCAGTAACCAAAGTTCCTTGTGGTCTCTGTGCATCACACATAAGTGCTCTGCATCCATATGGAGCCAGTTGTCAGGAAGATTTAACAGCTAGGAGCATTTTGTGGGAATCCCTCATCAAACATACATTATAAATAGGAGAAATTTCCACTCATTCCCTCAATGTTTCTTTAACCATCTTCATTGGAGCCTTGGGAAGTTCTTTGACTTTACTATCTGAATTTTGGGTGTTTTTCTCATTCATTCTCTCTTTCTCTTTCTGTCTCTCTCTACCCCTCAAACCACTAACCCTTTTTATCCTCACACTTCAAAAACCAAACAAGGAATGAAGGAAGGAAGACAAGAAACCCTCTTTGTCTTTCCTTGACTATTCCAAAAAACCTTCACTATCAGTATGTATCTGTAGATATCATATTTCCTTGTTTTCCCTTCACCTGCAAAGAACAGAAATACATGTTGCTGACCGATGAAAGATGCATTCTTAAAATTCCATGAAAAGTTAGGGTTATATAAAACCTTTAGTTCATCTATAATAACCAGGGAATTTACTTTTCACTAAAGTACAAAGAGGTTTAAAGAGAGCCTACCTTATGATTGAGCATTTAATTTATAATCAGTTAACTAATAAATATAATTGTATATGTAGGCTACAGCAGTTTATCAAGCAAAAGAAAAATTGAAATCAATAGAAAAGGCAAGGAAGGGTAAGTATTACATTTTCATTATATTTCAGGAAATTTTAAAACCAGCTTCTGTAATCACTTAGTTCTTGCTTGACAAGTTTCCTGCATAAAACATTTATGTTGAAGGATTTTGCCAGGACACTAAATTAAAATTCAACTCCTTCTGCACTTTGATACTGCTGTATTGAATGGATACTTTGCATTTTGGATTGTGTGCCTTTGGGCAGGGACTGTCTTGCTTTACTTGATTCTTACCTTGTTGTAGCGAAGGGGCTTGTGTAGCTCAATGAAGCTATGAGCTATGCCGTGCAGGGCCACCCAAGACGGACAGGTCATAGCAGAGAGCTCTGACAAAACGTGATCCACTGGAGAAGGAAATGGCAATGCACTCCAGTATCCTTGCCATGAAAACCCCATGGACAGTACCAAAAGGCAAAAAGATATGACAGCAGAAGATGAGCCCCTCAGATCAGAAGGTGTCCAATGTGCTACTGGGGAAGAGCAGAGGGCTAGTACTAGTAGTGCCAGAAAGAATGAAGCGACTGGGTCAAAGCCGAAAGGACACTCAGTTGCGGATGCATCTGGTGGTGAAAGGAGAGTCCGATGCTGTAAAGAAGCATCGGAACCTGGAATGTAAGATCCATAAATCAAGGCAAGCTGGACGTGGTCAAACAAGAGATGACAAGACTGAACATCAACATCTTAGGAATCAGTGAACTAAAATGGACAGGAATGGGTGAATTTAATTCAGATGACCATCAGGTATACTACTGCAGCCAAGAATCCCTCAGAAGAAATGGAGTAACCTTCATAGTCAATAAAAGAGTAGGAAAAGCAGTACTGGGATACAATCTCCAAAATGACAGAGAGATCTCAGTTCAAATACAAGGCAAACCATTCTACATCACAGTAGTCCAAGTCTATGCCCCAGCCACTGATGCTGAAGAGGCTGAAGTTGACTGGTTCTGTGAAGGCCTACAACACCTTCTAGAATTAACACCAAAAAATAATGTCCTTATAATCATGGGGGATTGGAATGCTAAAGTAGGAAGACAAAAGATCACCAGAATAACAGGCAAGTTTGGCCTTGAAATTCAAAATGAAGCAGGGCACAGGCTGGTAGAATTTTGTCAAGAGAATATGATGGTCATAGCAAACACTCTTCCAACAACCCAAGAGACGACTGTACACATGGACGTCACCAGATGGTCAACACAGAAATCAGATTGACTATGTGCTCTGCAGCCAAAGATGGAGAAGCTCTATACAGTCAGTAAAAACATGTCCAGGAGCTGACTGGCTCAGATCATGAGCTTCTTCTTGCAAAATTTAGGCTTAAATTGAAGAAAGTAGGGAAAAGCACTAGGCCACTCAGGTATGACCTAAATCATATCCCTGATGAATATACAGTAGAGGTGACAAATAGATTTAAGGAATTAGATCTGA